TCCATCCTCAGGAGTGCATGATCTGACCATGACAAGGGCTCTATGACTATCTCCCCCATTTCCAGATCATTCTGCCACTGGCCAGAGACAAAAATCAGATCCAGTGTGTGACCCCCTATGTGAGTGGGTGCATGTACTAATTGGGTCAAGTCCATGGTCGTCATGGAGGCCATGAACTCCCGAGCCACCGCCGACGTTTTGCCCGCCGATGGCAGATTGAGATCCCCCATGACTATAAGCCTGGGGGTCTCCACCGCCACCGCGGCTATCACGTCAGCTAGCTCAGGCAGGGCTGTTGACACATAACAGGGGGCCAGGTATATTATCAACAAGCCCACTTGCACCCCTTGCCCCCACTTCACAAGGAGGGACTCGACACCGTCTATCTGAGGCACAGTGGTCTCCCTTGGACATAAATTCTCCCTTATAATGACCGCCACCCCCCCGCCCCTACCCCGGGCCCTCGGCTGATGGAATGCTTGGAAACCTGGTGGGCACAGATCAACAAGGGGAACCCCCCCTTCCGTGCCCAACCAGGTCTCGGTGATACCCGCCAGGTCCGCTCCCCCCTCTTGAATCAGTTCTTGAATAAGGGGGGCCTTATTTACCACGGACCTGGCGTTGCATAACATCAGCCGGTGGGCCCGGGCCGGAGGATCTAAGGTCCCTGGGGATCGAGCCGAGCTCTGAGGATCGGAGCACCCACAAGCTTGTAGGCAGCGTGTGCGTGCTCCCGAAACCTGATATGGTCCTCTGCTCCCACCATACCTGCCCCTCCCACTAACCGTACCTATCACACCACCCTCCGCCAGCTCCCCAGTTTCCTCCCTTACCACTCCGCGCCCCCCCGACGGGACCGGCCTTGACCTCCGAGAGGACTCCCCAGGTTCCCCTCGGGCCAACCCCGAACCCCCTAAAAATTTAACAAAACATCCCTCTAAGAAGGTATATAATTTCCTCCTTCTTAGATCCCTCCCTGCTGCCGCTAAGTGCCACCTCTCGGGGTTCCAAACCCTTTCATTAAGGCTGGCCCTCGGGATCGTGTTGGGCCATGCCTGC